AGAGAGAAGCGGGAAGAGGAGGAGGCGGACGAGGAGGGGGAGGAGGAGGAGGACGACGACGAGGAGGACGACGAGGAGTGAACGTACCTTGAGGCGGCCACGTCTGTCAGCCCAGCCCACGCGCAAGCCTGCCTAGATAGTGAGGCAAGGCGTGAGACGGCAGACAGCGGATCAACGCCACAGGAGTGATTTCGCTGCGGCCATCGCTGCAGCAATATTTGCTGGCGACGGCGCGGCGCGTTGCTTCATTTTGTTGTACATGTGGAAAGCAAGCGCAACCCTGCGAATCGTCTGCCGCAACGAGAGGTCGCTGGCAGGTTCGGATGGGTACGCTGCTGCAGGGCCTAAGCCCCACGATGTATATGTGCTAAGGAGCGGAGCGGGGTCGGGGGACCAGAGGAGGCTCAGGAGGACGGAGCAGGAGAGGTAGTGGGGAAAAGAATCGGGTGCGTTCGGGCAACCGAATACACACGAGCGCTGGGCTAGTACATGCATGCGGTGTGTGGCCGTCCACCCGCCACTGAGCGTTTTGAAAACCGCCCAGCGCCAGCTGGGGCGGACATCTCCAAGCGCTTTCGCGAGAGTAGTCCAGCGGGTGGCGAGCTCAGGGGGCGGCGGCGTATTCTGAAGGCCCCACGCTGCAAGGCGTTTCGTGAGGGTGACTGTGAACGGCGAAGAGAAAAAGGCACGCTGCAGCGCGAGTGCGACCGCCCTCTGTACCTTCGGGCGACGCGGCGGGTCGGCGTCGGGTGCCTCTCGAATTTCAGCTCGTGCGGCGCGGTTCGCCAGGGCCACGGCTGCTGCGGTAAATGGCGAGACACGCTGCCCGCTAGACAAGGCATGGTAGAATTGCACGATGGACGAGGCCTCTTCCCAGAAGGGGGGGGGACCAGCGCCCAGCTTCCCACCGAGGGAAGGATTGGATCGTGCTCTCCTCCCAGGCGGTGTCTCGCAGGCGGTGGAGGAACGGTTCCCATTCTCCACTGAGTGTGAGGAGGACGACGAGGAGGAGAAGGAGGAGGGGGAGGAGAGACGCGCCCGTGATGCTCCCCAGCTGTTTGGTATGATTAAGAACTAACCTTCTTCTCCACCTCCTCCTCCTCCTCCTCCTCCTCCTCGTCGTCACTATCACCATCACCCCTCATCAGCATCCTCCCGCATCATCCCTCTGCCAAGTTCCTCATGTACCTCATGTTTCTCCTCATTGTCCTCCGCCTCCTCATCATCACCACCACCACCCCTCCATCCATCAATCCATCCCTCCCTCCCTACCTCTTCCTGCTGCTCGTCTTCCTCCTCCCTATCCTTCTCGATTACAATCCTAGCTCATCCCCATCTGCCTCGCCACTCGTTGTCCTGATCTTCCTCATCCAACTCCTCCTCCTCCTCCTCAGCATCATCAACATTACCGGTATACTCATCATCACCGTCATCAACTACAACATCATCATCACCACCATCATCACCAGCATCACCGTCATACTCATATTCACCATCATCACCATCATCATCAGCATCATCAGCAGCAGCACCATCATCATCATCATCATCATCATCATCATCATCATCCTCATCATCATCATCATCATCATCATCATCATCATCATCATCATCAACAGCAGCATCATCATCAGCACCATCCTCATCAGCATCATCATCAGCATCAGCATCAGCATCAACCTCATCATCACCATCATCATCAGCATCATCATCAGCATCATCAGCATCATCATCGTCATCATCATCAGCATCATCATATCCTCAGCAGCATCATCAGCATCAGCATCAGCATCAGCATCAGCATCAGCATCATCATCAGCATCTTCATCATCATCATCATCATCATCATCATCATCATCATCATCATCATCACGACCATAGTTTTGGCTCGAGAGTGGTGGGACTTTCTCGCGCTGGGACTATGCGCGCCCTGACTGATGGGGCGCGCGCACAGGAGGCGGCTCGCCGCGGCGCGGCTGCCCATGCACGAGAGCTTGGCCCCAGCGCCGCCCGCCGACGGCGGCGTCAGGCCGGACGGCTCCACGCCCGCTGGTCGGCCGAGGCGCTGCTGCGCGAGACTGCGCGCGAGGCGCACTTCTGGCGGCGGCGCTCAGAGGCCCTGGCGGACGAGCAGGAGCTGACGCTGGCGGCGCAGGACACTGCTGCCGCCCTGGGGGCGCGGGCCGTGGCCGCGGCCATCGCGGTCGCCACCTGCGCCGCGGGCGGAGCGCCTCGCCAGGCGCCTCGCAGCTCGGACTCCGTGAACGGGTTCGAGGAGTCTTTCGAGGCGATCGAGGACGAGCAGCTCCCGCAGCTGGCGACCGAGGCCCGCGAGCAGGTCGCGGAGGCGAGGATTTTGCCGAGCAGGCCGTCGAGGCTTCCATGGTGCGTGACGCGGAAAGCGTCGTCGAGCTGCGGGCCCAGGAGACGATCGTGGAGATGCCGACAGCGCTGCAGGTGGAGCAGCCCGTGGAGGTGCCGCAGGCCCTCCTGGCGGAGTCCCAGGCGGCCCGCCCCGAGTTCCCGTACATCGACAGGGAGGTACCCCCCCGTGCGGATCGTGGAGGTGCCGCAGGTCATGTACGAGGAGGCCGTCGAGGCTACCATTGTGCACAACGTGGAGGCCGCCTTCGAGCCGCGAGCCCAGGAGAGGCTCGTGGAGGTGCCCATAGCGCTGCAGGCGGAGCAGCCCGTGGTAGTGCCACAGGAGGCCCCCGCGAGGACCGAGGTCCGCAATCAGTTCCACCCTAGCGCCAGGCAGCGCGCGGGGATCGCGCTCGCGGCGCTGCTGGGCCTGCCTCTGCGACTGGCGGAGGCCTTGGAGGCGCTGGCGCGCGCGGCCTGGAGCGGCGGGGGGCCCCTCTCCGCCCTGCCCGAGGCTGTCGTGGCCATCGGCGCCAGGATCGGCGGCAGCCTGCGCAGGCGCTGCACGCGGCGCAGCTCGTCGCCCTGGAGCGGGAGCTCGGCGTAGCTCGGCGCGGACTCCGAGGCCGCCCCAGCGCCGAAGCCCACCGTGGAGCTCGCCTTGGAGCTGGGTCCCTACGCGAAGCTGCCCGCCCAGGAGACGGAGATCACCGTCGTGGTACTGCCCGTCACGGAGCGAGACTGCGTCGGCCTCGGAGGGGGAGCCCCAGGCCCTGGAGCGGGCGACCGCCGAGCCGCCCGAGGGGAAGGTCGCGGAGCCCGAGCCCTCGGCTGAGCTCGCGAGCGTCGGTGCGGCTCCAGCAGCAACGGCGGAGGCCGAGGAGTCTCCCTGGACCGCGCGGTGCCCGCTCGGCCACCGCCTCAAGACGAGGGACGGCCGAGCGGCGCCGTGCGCCGTGTGCCGCGCACGCTGATAACCGCGCCTGCGAAGACTTGGCCCGCTGGGCGCGGCTCGGAAAGCTCGGCCGACGGCCCCGTGGCGGCCGTCGGCGGTCCTCCGTCGTCGGGGTCTGAGGGCACTCGCGTCCGCCGACGCCAGGGGTCATAGCGGGGGCTACCCCAGTCTGGCGTGTAGGGTCCGTCCCTCGTCGCCTGGGTCTGGCTTGGGCCCCGCGGGGCCCTTGCGGCCGTGCATGCCGAATGCAACATGGCTGAGCCGAGCACCGCTCCCAGACCATACCGCCGATGCCCGATCAGCATCACCACCATCATCATCATCATCATCATCATCATCATCATCATCATCATCATCAGCAGCAGCAGCAGCATCATCATCGTCATCAGCATAATCATCATCATCATCCTCATCCTCATCCTCATCATCACCATCATCATCATCATCATCATCAGCAGCAGCAGCAGCATCAACATCAGCATCATCATCACCATCATCAGCATCATCACCATCATCAGCATCATCAGCATCATCATCATCATCATCAGCAGCAGCAGCATCATCATCAGCAGCAGCATCATCAGCTTCATCATCATAGCATCATCACCACCACCATCATTGACCTCATCCTCATCATCGTCATCATCATCAGCATCATCATCCTCATCCTCATAGTTTTCAAACGCCTCATCACCACCAGCATCAGCATGATCAGCATCATAATCATCACCATCATCAAAACATCAACATCGTCATTACAGTCATGATCATGATCATGATCATCACCCTATCAGCATGATCAGCATCATCATCATCATCATCATCATCATGATCACCATCACCGTCTTCACCATCAGCATCAGCATCATCATCGTCAGCATCAGCATCATAATCGTCATCATCAGCATCATCATAAGCACCATCATAATCATCATCATCATCAGCATCATCATCATCAGCAGCAGCAGCAGCATCATCATCAGCAGCATCGCCATTGTCGTCGTTATCATCTCGAACACATTCATCATCAGCAGCATCGTCAGATTATCATCACCATCCCATCACCTACGATCACCATCACCACCACCAACATCAGCATCAAACTCAGCATCAGCATAATCAGCATCATCTTCATCGTCATCATCGTCAACATCAGCATCATCAGCATCAGCATCATCAACATCAACATCAACATCATCATCTCAGCCTCCTCCTCCCCCTCCTCCTCACGTCCGCTGGCATGGATATGGTGAATACGGGCACTACTCCCTCCCATGGTGTCAGGTGACCGCTAGGTTTCTCTCGTGCCTCTAACTTAAATTTGGCCTGCTGGCGGAAAACCACTGGTTTCTGAAATCGTGTCGTTGCATCGGCTTCTGTCGATTGCTTTGATGGCCGCCGCATCCTTGAAGATGAGTTTAAGTACTCTTTGAGCCCATAGCGAATTTTCTGATCCTCCTTCTGCACCTCCTTATCCACACATCTGCTCATCCTTATCGCCCTCGTCGTCGTCCTCATTCTCGCCATCGTCGCCGTCGTGGTTGCTGTCGCCGTCGTCATCGTCATCCTCCTCCTCCACGGCGCCCTCGTCCATGCGGCCGTCATCGACAGCGTCGCCGCCGCCGCCGTCGCCGCCCTGGTCGCAATCGCTGGCGCCAACCTCCCCCCCGGCTGTCGGTGCCTCGCCAGGCCCCTCCGCGACCGCCAGGGGCAGTTGTGGCGGCGGGCCGCACGACATCGGCCTGCACTTCGGGGCGTCATCCAGCTGGCCGTCCGCCTCTCGCCGCGCAGCCGTCGTCCCCGCCGTCGCCATCCTTGTCGTCGGCGTCGTCCTCTTCTGCTGCTTCTCGATGTCCCTCGCCCGCCTACGCTCCTCCTCTTCCTCCTCATCGTTTCTCCCCCATCCTCCCCAGCCCCCTCCGCCCTCGCCTCCTCCTCCTCCTCCTCCTCCTCCTCCTCCTCCTCCTCCTCCTCCTCATTCTCCTCCTCCTCCTCCTCCTCCTGATCTGATCCTTGTTCAACCTGGGCCGCAGTAGTCTGGAAAGCTGCCACCACTGATGGCGGAGGCACCACCTTGCCCCCGCTGCAAGGCTGATGCTCGCCCCCCGCTCGGCTGCCCCCCCCAAAAAAATAAACAGCCGTGGTCGGAGTCCAGGGGCCCTGTCAGAGCGTGCCTCCCACCGCTCGGTGGGCTCTGGTGGAAGGCCACCAGCGCGTCAGGAAGGCGAGATCTATACACAGCCACTGTTCCCTGGCCAGACCCAGCCTGAACCCAGCAGCGGTGGCGGTGTATACGCCACGCCCTCCTGGCTTGTCCAAGGGGCCGTATACGCAGCTCCTGGGTTCAGGATGGGCCTGGCCAGGGAGCAGTGGATATGTATAGATCTCGTCGCCCAATGCGTTTGCGTTCTCGGACAGGTCAGGCACCGTTAATTCCCCTCACGTCGGTCTCGCCCGCCTTCCTCCCCCGCTGCGCTGCAGAAGGCATGGCGGGACTGGCTGGTGGAGCAAGCGAGCGAGCGACCAAGGCGGGTGGAGAACTATGTGGTGTGGTGTGCGTGTGCGCGTGCGCGTGCGTGTGTGTGTGTATGTATGTGTGTATGTGGTCACTGTGTTATGTGTGGTGTAGATGTTCAGTTAAGTATCCGTGTGTGTTGTGTGTGCATGATGTGTAATATGTGTTTGTTGTACGTCGGGCCCCGATATTACGAGAAAGTCTCAAGCGAAACGGCCTGATTCTAACATGAGGCTCGAGCTGAAACGGGGGCTCGGTTTTTGGAGGATGTCCCATGCGAGACTGCAGTGTTCAAAGACTCGGGCTCACAATCATTGCAATCCTCTGTGTGGCTGAATGCTGTACGCCAGCACGTTGAGAAGTCGTTGTGCTGCTGGGCCGTGACGCCGCGCTCTGCGCGAGGGGCGCGTCCAATCTTCAGAATATATGGATGTCCCGCGCGGAAACGGCCGCAGGACAGCGACCAACACTCCCGCCGTGAGTTTGTTTCCCCCAGCGCGAGGGGGTCTGTGGGCTCGGAGCGGGCGGCGAGATGGAGCCGCGGCAGGAGCAGGCCTGGCACCGACGGCCCCGCGCGGGCCCCGCGCTCCTCGGCGTCCTGGCGTCACTCGCCGCGGTGGCCGCGGTGGCAGCGCTGCGCTGGGGCGCACAAAATTAAGTGCCTCAGAGCTCCTACTCCCTCAGGAGAGGTACGCGCAGGATAACGTCAGGACACCACCGCAGGGCTTCGGTTTCGGGGAAGCGGCGCTGCGGGCGCTGCGCCCGCCCACCACTCTGGCCCCGGCCCCGCAGGGAGAACTTCAGTCGGATTGACATCGGCCCCAGGTGCGGTGACAGAGCAGGACGGACTGATGTAGTCACTGATCTGCTCACCGACGAGACCAGACCTGTTGTTGCAGGCCGTGTAGGAAAAGACCTGCCTCATACTTGTCTTGCAGCTGAGCTCTTAGCTGCACATGCTGTTGGTAAAATTCGGAAGTCATGCCACTGCCCTGATTGTTGTCTACACCTGCACGTACAAGCTGTGTGCGCCAGGGCTCTCTCGTAGAACATGCAAATCGGCCCTTGCAATGGCGGCTCAAGGTTGCGCTGGCCGGACTCGGGATACTGCTGCGGTCCTGGTGAAACCGCACCAAGAGCTAGCAGAGCCAGCCCCAAACGCAAAAGAATGGAGGCATGCTTCGAGAAACGCCGAGGCCGACCACTGGGCGAAGTGGGCGGCAAATCAGCACAACCTCCCGTGGTGGAATCGAAGCAATCCGGGCCGCGCTTCAAGTTGCTGCAGCCCTTGCTATAGTGTGGCTAGCAGGTCTTGCCAAAGGAGCGTCTAGCTGCCTCTGAACATCGAGGCAAACTATCGGCCACACTTGAGAGGTCTCAGAATTCCCTTGTCGGGGCTGCATCCGCCCCTGGCTCCGTGCCCATGGCTCCCCCTCCCTGCCCGTTCTGCGGTGCCTGGTGGTCCCCCAACGCGATGGAACTGGAAGCCCAGGAGGACGGCTTTGCAAGCTGTGCAAAACGAGGGCCCTTCTGGAGGCGCGGATACATGCCAGGCTCCATGAGAAGTACACTGGCAGAGCCCCTCTCAAAACCCTCACTGCAGACAGAAACGGTACCACGCTAGTTTTGGCAGATTGAATGAGAGAAGTTTCTTGTAGGTTGCAGGACGTGCGGAGCCTATGCAAGCTGGGTTTCGGGTTCCGGGCTGGGTCAAGTCGACCAAACGTTCGCCTTTTGGTGAGGATGAGTGATGGTATTCGTCCTGATCGTCCTTCATCTCCCTCCTCCGCCTCCTCCTCCTCCTCCTCCTCCTCCTCCTCTTCCCCTCCTCGTCCTCCTCCCGTCCCCTCCTCCGCCCGCCGTCATCATCCACATCGCTCTCCTCCTACCTCTCCCCTTCCTCCCATTATGCCCCTCTTCTTCGTGGACTCATCCTGCCAAGACGCACCGTTGGGATACCCCACAATATGGCCAGCACTTTCACTGGACACCATGGCATGGTGGTCCGACCGCGCTGCTACATGAGCGCGTCATATGACGTACCCGTTGTCGAACGGAAGCAAATTTCCTCCCCTGCCCTCTGTAGATGTTTACCTCCTAAGCGGTGCCTTGGGCCGGTCCAGCATGATATGGATGTTGCCGGGGCCTTGGGCCACAACCCAGCTCTCTGTCACGTTTCCGACGGCACGGACTGTTTCTTGTGCTTGAGGCGTGGCACGTTCCTCCATCAGGGAGTTTTTGCGAAGAGCAACTTCGCCAGCCGATGCACCACCAATCGCCATCGGCACGGAGATACAATTAGGAACAAAGGTGTTCGAAGGTGAGCACCCACGCAGGAGTGACGTCCGCATCGTTGAGACCGCGGTCCTACCGAGCGACACTCTGGGCCTTGATCGCAGGCTGGCTGACGCTGCTGACTGCTGCAGTGAATCTGATCTGGTTTTGGCGAGTCGCCGCGTGTCGGCAGCCCTTCGTTTGGAGCCAGCTGCTGGCGGCTCGCGGGAGGCGTTTGCATCGCTGTCGGAATCAGGCTCCGACGGATGACCGGCCTATTCTTTTATTGTTTGCGGGTCTGTGTTTGGCGGGCACCACCCGTCAGCGCCAACAGCGGACCTCTTGCGAGGTGCTCGCTCCGTGGTGAAATCAGGCGGGAGGTCTGGACCAAAGGGGTCTCCTAAAACAAACATGTGTAGGCTAGCTCTGCGCTCAAAGACCACCTGTCCCACTGAATGGAAGAACAACGCAGTGCGTTGCCAACGGTGAACCCCAGCGTCGTGTGGGCTCTAGCGCATAACATTTCATCACTCTAACTGTTCTCGAGCTTTGCCCTAGATCGGGTTTGCTCGTTTTCCCCTAGGGGACTCACCCAGACCCAGTGGCGTACGTGGGTAACTTTGTGGATACTAAAAATATGTCTCTCTCTCTCTCTCTCTCTCGCTCTCCCGTGCTCTCCCCCACCTCTGCCACTATCCTCCTGCTCTTCGTCCTGCTGGTATGTATCACGTTTCGCCTAGGCTTCTCCTCCTCCTCCGCCTCCTCCTCAGTCTCCTCATCACCATCGTCATCATCATCGCCATCGTCCTGACCAGCATCATCCTTATTAGCACATCAATTATCTGTATCATCATCGCCATTGTCATCACCCTCATCATCATCGTCGTCGCTATCGTCACCACCATCATCAACAACGACAACATCATCAGCACCATCACCATCACCATCATCATCATCGACAACATCACCATCACCATCACCACCGACACAAGCATGAACCATATCGTCATCTGTACCGTCATCATCAGCACCAGCATCACCACCATTATCGTCATCGCCAGCATCACCATCAACATAATCATCATCGGCAACACCATCACCCTCAACGACATGATCAGCATCGGCAGCATTCGTCTCATAGCATCGTCAATATCATCCGCATCTTCATCATCACCATCAACAGCACCATCACCAGCATCATCATCAGCATCGGCATCGTCATAATCATGACCGTCATCACCATTACGATCCTCGTCACCATCGCCATCAGAATCGGCACCAGCATGGGCACCACCATCATCATCGTCATCACCACCATCATCACCATCCCCATCATCATCGTCAGCATCATCGCCACCAGCATCACCATTCTCATCATTAGCATCAGCATTGTCATCATCCCACCCGATCCGCTGCATCCTCAGCGCATTATCTTCCTGATCCGTATCATCATACTCCTCTTCGTCGTCATCAACCTCGTCCACGTCCTCTGCATCCTCCTCATCCACCTCCTCCTCCTCCTCCTCCTCCTCCTCCTCCTCCTCCCCATCATCATCATCATCATCATCATCATCATCATCAGCATCATCATCATCATCATCATCATCATCATCATCATCAGCATCATCATCATCATCATCACCATCATCATCATCATCATCTTCTTCCTCCTCCTCCTCAGCACAGCCCCGGCGCAAGATGAAGTCTATCACGCCTCAGTAAGTGGGGGCGGCCAACGCGCCAACCCCCCGCCCCTGTCAGGAGCTACAGCGGACGCCAAACTGCCGACGGGGCGGAAGAGAATAAGGAAGAGGAAGACACCTTTGAGAGAAAGAGAGGGGCGCCAGCTCAACGACGTGCTGCTCCGCGAACGGCACTGACCGCCGAAAGCGGCCAGCCCCTATGCCTCCGTGGCTCTTCCAGCACCACGGGACACTGGCCACCCCAAGCGGACCTCCGTGCGGGGCACACGGAGCGGGAAGGCGTATGGGTGACCAGGCCCACCCCCGCAGACCCCCTTGCCAAAAGGGGGTCAAGTGGGACCACGTCTCGGAGCCGCAACGTGACGGGCAGGCAGCAACAGTGGCCAGAGCCTGCCCCCCATTCCAGGCAGGTACCGTACAGGCCGACGCGCACCTATCGCGAAGAACGGGGTTGCGCCGACCGAGGGACGGGTGCCCTCGCGGGACCCAGGAAGCCAGGTCCCCGTGGGACCTGAGACGGCAGACCTGGCCACCTTTGGGGACCACTCCAGCTGGTCCAGGGGTGCCGCCCCAGGCCCGACAGGGCACCGACCCCCTGGCCCGCGGCGCCGCAAGCGACGTCTAGGCGGAGTTCAGTGCACCCCAGGGGCCCCGATGCGCCGCCCATGCATCGAGATATCCCCTGGGGGCACCCTCCTCCTTCTCCTCCTCCTCCTCCTCCTCCTCCTCCTCCTCCTCCTCCTCCTTCTCCTCGTCCTCCTCCTCCTCCTCCTCCTCCTCCTCCTCCTCCTCCTCCTCCTCCTCCTCCGCCTCCTCCCCACTCCAACCACAATCCGCTGTTTGGTATTACCCTCTTCCTCCTCCTTCTCCTCTTCCTTCTCCTCCTCCTCATCATCATCGTCGTTCTCCTTGTCATCCTGCATCCTATCTGCGTTGCGCGGACTTTGGCAATCGAGCCGTTCCGTATAAACCTCCTCCTCCTCCTCCTCGTCCTCCTCATCGTCATCTTCCTCGTCCTCCTCCTCCTCCTCCTCCTCCTCCTCCTCCTCCTCCTCCTCCTCCTTACTCGTCACTCCCCCTCTCCTCACCCTCCCCCTGTTCTCCTCCGCCTCCTCCTCCATCCTCCGCCTCCTCCTCATTCCCCAAACGATACTTGCGCATGGAGGCCCGATTTGCTGGCAAGACTACAACACGCTTTGTACCGCAAATATCTGGTTGAGAGGAATGGTATTGTCGCTGTGGCTGATTGACGTCGCCGTGAAAGCACGAATAGGCTGGCACAACGTGTTCAAAACCTTGGCAAAGAGATGCCGCCTGTCAGACAGCTCTGTGTGACACGGCCTGCATCTGGCAGCACTAGCCTGTCCCAATCACGTTGCCCAGCTTCAACAAGACCCCCTCCTGCATCAATTCTCTCTCGGGCAACGCCAAAGGGTCCGAACCGTGACACGCCCGAGGGGGGCTCTTCCGTGGCATCACCAAGCCCCTCGGGACCCAGGTCTCCGTGAGGTGTTGGACTGCTGGGGCCCGTCGTTCTGATAGGCGTCGTGCTGCCGGTGCCCGTCGTTCCGCGCAGCTCCCCTTGTGCTGGTGCACGACTTGATGCCCGCTCAATGGACGTCAGAGTCGGGGTGCTGGTATCTGCAGTGTCGCTCGGCGTCATGGCGCCGATGATTGCCGTGCTGCCATGCAAATGGACAGCAGAAACGCGACGGCGCAGCTACTCATGCACAGTCGGCCTGCTTCAACCTACGCGTAGAAGTTGGAAGAGTGAGACGGTTATATGCGGTGCTCGCCGAATAACATCGACACCATCATGTGGTTAGGCTTCAACTGCTCGGCCTGCTGATTTTCACGGGCGTCTAGAGGAAGGAAAGAAACGTACACTGCAGAACACGAAAGGGAAACAGTCCAGGAAGCGCAACTCTGAGTGCTTCCAGGACCACTGGCTTCCCTTGTCACAAATGGACGTCTCTCATTCCGTCGCTACTGCGAGAACAGCTGACGCCTCACTGCAAAGCATCACAGTTTTCGTCACAGCTGGCTACATCCCACCTCCCCATGATGTGGTGGAGAGGTGTCCAGCGGTAGGCCTGGCAGCCGACAACGAAGGGCTCGACGCCGTGGAACGAACCATCGGTGGAGAAGCCCTCCTCCGCAAGGCCCGCTCTCCCTCTCTCGGGTGTTGCTAGAAGTGCCCCTGGCCAAAGGTGCACCCAGGGTTTCCAAGGAGGCCTCCACGGCCTCCAGAGCACCCCATCACGAGGCCCAGAGGGCCCCAGGGGCTCCAAAATGGAGCGAAAAGCCAGGGGACACCTTGGGACAGGGGCATCTCTTTGGCACCCCCCGACCGTCGGCGTCTGCTTGGGTACAGTAGGGGCCCGACCACAAGAAACCTTCCACAAGAAACCCAACCCTGGAACCCCAGGAACCCCGTGGTGCGGGAACGTCACGTGCTCCGTCCAAGGGCACCCTGGAGACAAGCAGGGTGTTTCTTTAGGCGGCGCGCCCAGGGGGGAAAGTGAGAAGGAGACGGCCTTCTCAGAAGGCTCGGAAGATCCCGGGACTTCTGAGAAGTTTGCCAGGCCTTCCCCGAGGACAGGGAAAACTTCTCGAAGGCCGGAGGCCTTCTGAGAAGTCCCGCCGCCTTCTGAGAAGGCCTTCTCCTTCTCATTTCCCCCCCTCGCTCGCGTCCGATTTCTAGCATGGGCTGGGACGCAGAGAGACATACTGATACTATATGTCCGCCTTGGAGGCGCGCGTCCGACCCGAACAGATAGTATACCCATCTTGTAGTATATCGTTTCCCGAGCGGTGTGGCCAGAAAGCGCCCGCCACGACGCATACACTGGAAGATTTCTCGGTGCGCGCGTCGCCCCTGGGGAACGAACCACATATAGTATAATTACACCAGAGAAAAACCCCAATCAGTGGATCGTTTTCGCTCAGGAGATCGACTGGGAACCCGGGAGCCCGGGAACCCAAAACCCACCAAAATCAGCCCGAAACCAATAACCGGGAACCCGGGCATCGGGAACCGGGAACCTGGGAACCCAGCCTGCTACCAAACTCGGCGGGAAACTTTCGCCAAATCTTTCAGCTTCCTTCAGGACCCCTCCAGTGGGAGCACTGCTTGGGGAGGTCTGTTTTGGGGTGACGCCGATGGGCTTCCACTGCGAACCTGGAACCGGCAGTATGGTTCTGGTGGTGGTTTTGGTTTTGGTTTTGGTTCTGGTTCTGGTTCCGGTTCCGGTTTTGGTTCCGGTTTTGGTTTTGGTTCCGGTTCCGGTTCCGGTTCCGGTTCTGGTTCCGGTTCCGGTTCCGGTTTTGGTTCCGGTTTCCTTCTTTTTGCGGGGCTGGAAAAGGCCCCTTTGGTGACGGTTCCGGTTCTGGTTCTGGTTTTGGTTTCCTTTTTCTTCCAGGCCTGAAAAAGACTTTCAGGTTTTGGTTTTGGTTCCGGTTCCGGTTCCGGTTCCGGTTTCCTTCTTCTTCGGGGCTTTGAAGAGCACCCTCCATGGAGGGTGCTCTTCAAAGTAACGGTTCTGGTTCTGGTTTTGGTTCCGGTTCCGGTTCCGGTTTCCTTTTTGTTTTCGCCTCAAAGAAGACCACCCTGGTCACGGTTCCGGTTTCGGTTCCGGTTCCGGTTTCCTTGTTCTCTTGGCCTCGAAGAAGACCTCTTGGTCACGGTTCTGGTTCTAGTTCCGGTTCTGGTTCCGGTTTCCTTCTTCTCTTGGCCTCGAAGAAAGACTCCCTGGTCACGGTTTCGGTTTTGGTTCCGGTTCCGGTTCTGATTTCTTTCTTCTTCTCGCCCCGAAGAAGGCTCCCCAGGTCACGGTTTCGGTTTTGGTTCCGGTTCCGGTTCCGGTTTCTTTCTTCTCTTGGTTCGAAGAAGACCCCTTTGGTCACGGTTTTGGTTCTGGTTTCGGTTCCGGTTCCGGTTTCCTTCTTCTTCTGTCTTCGAAGAAGACCCCCCAGGTCACGGTTTTGGTTTTGGTTTCGGTTCCGGTTCCGGTTTCCTTCTTCTCTTGGTTCGAAGAAGACCACTTTGGTCACGGTTTTGGTTCTGGTTTCGGTTCCGGTTCCGGTTTCCTTCTTCTTCTGTCTTCGAAGAAGACCCCCCAGGTCACGGTTCCGGTTTTGGTTTCGGTTCCGGTTCCGGTTTCCTTCTTCTCTTGGTTCGAAGAAGACCTCTTTGGTCACGGTTCCGGTTTTGGTTTCGGTTCCGGTTCCGGTTTCCTTATTCTTCTGTCTTCGAAGAAGACCCCCCAGGTCACGGTTCCGGTTTTGGTTCCGGTTCCGGTTTCCTTACCTAACAACGAAGACTAATAGGTTTCTAATAGGGTCAAAGGAGAGCATCATGACACCCCAGGCGGGTCTGGGCGCGATCCGGGGGAGGGTGCTGGGGACTTTTTTTTTTGACCCAACAATTACACGCTTCGTGGTCTTCGAGGTCCCAGAACTCCATTCCCGGGAATGATTCTGAATGCCCGGAGCCAACTGTAGGCCACTTCGTGCTCTTCGAGCTCCCAGAACTCCATTCCCGGGCCACATTCTGAATGCCCGGAGCCAACTGTAGGCCACTTCGTGCTCTTCGAGCTCCCAGAACTCCATTCCCGGCAGTATGGTTCTGGTGGTGGTTTTGGTTTTGGTTTTGGTTCCGGTTCTGGTTCCGGTTCCGGTTTTGGTTCCGGTTTTGGTTTTGGTTCCGGTTCCGGTTCCGGTTTTGGTTCCGGCCCGGGCCACATTTTGAATGCCCGGAGCAGGCTGATGCTGAGGCTGAGGCAGGCTGAGGCTGAGGCCGAGGCAGGCTGATGCTGAGGCAAGCTGAGGCGGAGGCTGAGGCTGATGCAGGCTGAGGCTGAGGCTCATGCAGGCTGAGGCTGCGGCAGGCTGAGGCTGAGGCTGAGGCTGAAGGCAGACTGGGGCTGAGGCTGAAGCAGGCTGAGGCTGAGGCTGAGGCAGGCTGAGGCTGAGGCTGAGGCAGGCTGATGCTGAGGCAGGCTGAGGCTGAGGCTGAGGCTGAGGCAGGCTGAGGCTGAGGCTGAGACTGAAGGCAGACTCAGGCTGAGGCTGAAGCAGGCTGAGGCTGAGGCTGAGGCTGATGCAGGCTGAGGCTGAGGCTGAGGCAGGCTGATGCTGAGGCAGGCTGAGGCTGAGGCTGAGGCTGATGCAGGCTGAGGCTGAGGCAGGCTGAGGCTGAGGCCGAGGCTGAAGGCAGACTGAGGCTGAGGCTGAAGCAGGCTGAGGCTGAGGCTGAGGCAGGCTGAGGCTGAGGCTGAGGCAGGCTGATGCTGAGGCAGGCTGAGGCTGAGGCTGAGGCTGATGCAGGCTGAGGCTGAGGCAGGCTGAGGCTGAGGCCGAGGCTGAAGGCAGACTGAGGCTGAGGCTGAAGGAGGCTGAGGCTGAGGCAGAGGCAGGCTGAGGCAGGCTGAGGCAGGCTGAGGCAGGCTGATGCTGAGGCAGGCTGAGGCTGAGGCTGAGGCTGATGCAGGCTGAGGCTGAGGCAGGCTGAGGCTGAGGCCGAGGCTGAAGGCAGACTGAGGCTGAGGCTGAAGCAGGCTGAGGCTGAGGCTGAGGCAGGCTGAGGCTGAGGCTGAGGCAGGCTGAGGCTGAGGCTGAGGCTGAGGCTGAGGCTGATGCAGGCTGATGCAGGCTGAGGCTGAGGCTGAGGCTGAGGCTGCAGGCTGAGGCGAGGCTGAAGGCAGAGAGGCAGGCTGATGCTGAGGCAGGCTGAGGCTGAGGCTGAGGCTGATGCAGGCTGAGGCTGCGGCAGGCTGAGGCTGCGGCCGAGGCTGAAGGCAGACTGGGGCTGAGGCTGAAGAGGCTGAGGCTGAGGCTGAGGCAGGCTGAGGCTGAGGCTGAGGCAGGCTGAGGCTGAGGCAGGCTGAGGCTGAGGCTGAGGCTGAGGCAGGCTCAGGCTGAGGCAGGCTGAGGCTGAGGGCGAGGCTGCAGGGAGACTGAGGCTGAGGCTGAAGCAGGCTGAGGCTGAGGCTGAGGCAGGCTGAGGCTGAGGCTGAGGCAGGCTGATGCTGAGGCAGGCTGATGCCGAGGCTGATGAGGAAGAGGGTAGTAATGATGACGAATACGGCTTTGGCTTTGTTGAAGATCATCACCCAATATTCAACGGACTCTGCGTCCAAAGGATCACCCAGTACTCAAAAGACTCCGTCTCCAAGACAGTACCGTGTGCTCAACAGACTCCGTGTCCAAGAAGGCGCCCAGTACTCCACGGACCCCGCTGCCAGAGAGCACCCACTACTCAACATACTCCGTCTCCGAGAGAGCACCCTCAGGTCACGGTTTCTGGTTCCGGTTCCGCTTCTGGTTCCGGTTCCCTTTTTCCTCGGGGCCCCAACGAAAACCTTCCAAGTCACGGTTCTGGTTTTGGTTCCGGTTCCGGTTCTGGTCCCAGTTTCCTTTTTTTTCGGGGCCCCAAAAAAGCCTATCCAGATCATGGTTCTGGTTTCAGTTCCGGTTCCGGTTCCGGCGTCGGTTTCCTTGTTCTTCGAGGTCCCAAATAAGACCCCCCAAAGCACGGTTTTTTGTTCCTGTTCCGGTTCCGGTTTCTTTCTTCTTCGTGGTCCAAACGAAGATTTTCCAGGTCACGGTTCTGGTTCAGATTCCGGTTCCGGCCTGTGCTTCCAAAACAAAAACCGGTAAACAACGAGTCAACTGACCCCGTCTCTCAAACATCACTCTGTACTAAACAGCCTCCCTCTCCAAGGCAGCACCCGGTATTCCACGGACTCCGTGTCCAAGGGAGCACCCAGCACTCAACAGACCCCGTCTGCAAGACAGCACCGTGTACTCAACAGACTCCGTGTCCAAGAAGGCACCCAGTACTCAACAGACCCCGCTGCCAGAGGGCACCCAGGAAAGGTCGATTTAAAAACCCGACCCGCCCGCCCCCGCCCCCTGCCCACCCGCCCGCCCGACCGCCCGCCCAAGAGAGCACCCACTACTCAACAGACTCAGTCTCCAGGAGAGCAGCCACTATTCAATTGCCTCCGTCTCCAAGACAGCGCCCAGTATTCAACAGACTCCGTGTCCAAGGTAGCACCCACTAGTCAACAGACTCCGTCTCCAAGACGGCACCTTGTACTCAACAACTTGCGTGTCCAAAAAGGCACCCAGTACTCAACAGACCTCGCTG